TTGTCGGGTGCAGACGCAGCCAACCCCGTTTCCAAACTTCGATCGCTTTAAGCGGCCTCGGGCGAGCGATCGATCCGCCTCCTCCTCGCTCTCTGATCCTGATTTAAACGATTTTCCAGTTGCTCGAGACGTTGCTCGTAGCTGGGTAAAAAGGAGGTTGAAGGTTTTGATTTTTGGAGGGAGGGATTTTTGTAAAGAGAAGAAATGTTGAATTATATATATATGTATATATACATGTATGTATATGGAGATAGAGTTTTTGAGTCATGTGGACGAAGCTGGTTTGAATTTTCGATGCGAATTCGAGGATCGTATAAAAAAGTGATTCGAGTGGGTGTGTTAACGGTATTTTCCTCTCCTTTTCTTTTCGCGGATAACGGGAATGAAATAGAAAATAAAAAGTGGGCGTTTTAAGAAGGCTTGATGAAAAATCTCATACAGCGTAGTAGCAATCATTGGTAGCCATTCTGTTTAACAGGACTTTTCGACGAGTTATTTCAATATGGATGCATGGAATGAACCGTGTTTCAAGCAGACATTTGAATGCGCGACGAGTAAAGTGTTTCATACTTTTGATGCTTTTCTGATTTAGACGCATCGATGCGATAGCTCCATAACCACGCGTTATGAAATCCATGTCGTATTGGCAAATTCTTCGTTTTCGAAAAAAAAAAAAAAAAAAACGAAGCAAATTTTTCAAATTCGATCTCGAGAAAAATAAAAGTAAATTCTGTCTTGCTGGGGAGAGAATTATACGAATACGAGAGAGAAATTCATTGAATTGAAATGATCTTCGAGGGAGAAAAAATCCCACCACCAAGTTTTCCGCGATTGAAAATTTTCGAACGATAAAAAAATTATGAAAATCCATGGGCGCAGGTGGGACGAGTTTTCCAACGCGAGAACGGATTAAGCTTTAGCGGGGGAGATTTATGGGCGGGCGTGTAACGAGCAACTTTTTCATGCGTCAGGCTTTGACCCGCGGGGGTGGGATTAGCATAAGAAGCGGCAGCTGCGGGCCGGGTGGTGCGTGTCTATGACGAGTTTGGAGGAGACAGGTGAACCGATACGCGAATTTCAATCCGCATGTTTTTCGATCTAAACACGGAGGAGATCTCCTCAAGCCTATGGCGAAAATCGGAGAATAAACCGGGAGCGGATCGAAATTGCTTGGAGAAAATGCTTGGAGAGGGAGAAAAATGGCGTTGCAGAGAGGTCGACGCTCTCCTCCTCGGATGGATGGCAAGCGGGGGATATTTAATTGAATACTCGGAGGATCGATGCACGTCGTCGGTAGCACGGATGCATCGGCCGGCCCTTTACGGCCAATTATGCTAGGCTTGCGTAACGCGATCGAGAAACGAACAACTCGAATGATTGCCTCTCTCTCTCTCTCTCTCTCCTTTCCTTGTTGGACAACAGAGCTATGGATTTTTTCGACGCCGAATTTGTCGATTTTGTAGAAATTAGAATGCTAGCTTCGTTCGAAACAGCGGATTCTTAATTATACGTGGTGGCACACAAAATGAAAAACTTCCTCGTGCAGAACGATCCAGCTAGAACCATCCCGCGCATCTTGGCGGATGGAGATGGGATGGGAGGGGGGGAGGGGGCGCAGGGGTTAGCAGCAAGTAGCAGCGGGAATAAAGTGGAGTAGACCGGAATAGAGTACAAGGTGTATGCCTAGAAGGTAGCTAGAGAGAAAATGGTAGCCAATGGCGTTGGCTCGTTGGCGTCGTTGCTACAGTATTGAACGTCTCCTACGTGGGCTCCAGATCCTCTCTCTCTCTCTCTCCTCCCCTCCCGCCCTCTCCCTGCAGCCTCTCAAGCTCCGTTTCCTCCTGGTCCACCTCCCTCCTCCTCCTCCTCCTCCTCGACATTCCCTCATCCTCCACCTCTGCTGTCGCTGCAGCACACGCACACACAGAGAAAAGGGAAGGGAAGAGAGAATCGGTTCTCCTCTCTTTCTGCCGGTCACGCCGCCGGCCTTCCGTCTCCGTCCTTTCCCTCCAAAGGCTTCTCGTGACCCGACGACGTCCTCCTCTCCCTCCACTCCCAGGGTGGAGACACCCTCCCTCCATCCGCCTCCCTCTCCTCTTCCACCGCTCTCCTCCCTCTGTCCAGAGCTGCGTGGCCTCGGCCGCCTCTCTCTCTATCCTCTCTCATTAATATCCAGGAGACACCCAGGAAGGAGGAGGAGGGTTAACTCTGATTGGCTCCGAGGCGACATCTCGACGGGTACAGTTTCGAAGAATCGAATTGGAATTGGACGGACCTTCGCCTTCCGAAGGGGAGAGTTCTTCTTCCTCGCGAGGAGGAGGAGGAGGTGGACGACGGGGGCGGGATTATTGATTTTTTGGGTGGACATGGGTGGGATGGCTCGATTTTTCGGAATATCGGATTTGGATAAATTTATTAAGGGACGGGTGGTGAAATGATCGGTGGGGATGGGATGGGATGAGAAACTACTTGTATCGTATAAGAAGAGTCCAGTCTTGTCATAAAATGTTTCGACAAGGATTCGTTTCTTCGTGATAATGGAGGAGGAGTGGGATGCATCGTCCCAGTTGCGTAAACGAGTTTTAATCGATACGTTTTATTTGTAAAAAAATGTATCTTCAAGAAGCTTTTCAAACGAAAAGTGAAAGATTAATAACGAAAAAGTTCTCGTTTCTTTTTCTTTTTTTCACGGCGAACGCAATGAAAATGGATGGCGCGTTCCCCAAGCTTCCGGATCCACGGAGGAAGCAAAGATTGGTTGGTCGGTAGCGGACTTAGCTTCGAGCTAAATGGCATATGGCGGGAATAAGGAGAAGGCTCTGGCTTCAGATTACGGCAATTATCGAAAACGCAGAAATTAAGTTCCAACCACCTCTCCAGGAATAATTTGAAAAAGACGGAAAATTAGAATTCGGACTAGTTGCTCGAATGTGTCGTGACACGTTGATATTTGCGGTTTCTTGAATCGATTAGAATTTTTCCAAGATTTTGAAGAAACCAAGTTTAGGTAAAATTAAGGATACGAATTTTATATTTTGAAGAGAATATTTGACCGGTATCGTTCTCAACTATTGTCGTATTGTGGAAAATATCAAGAGTTTTATATAATCAATCGATATATATATATATATCTTTATTTTAGAAGAATTGTTATTTAAAAGAAATTGGCACGAAAATTATATTACGAATATATTATTTATACGATTAATTTTACGCTAATTGTAAAATCGTAGGGAACGAATAACATCGTTTTCACGAAAATTGTTACGATTTTAAGGCCACGTACGATCAAAACTAATATCGAGTTTCTAAAAAAAAAGGAAGAAAAAATTCTTCGCTTTTTTCCCCCCTCGTTCTATCTCCACATACCTATGTTTTTTTCGAAATTTAAATGCGAGAAGAACATTGTCACGAATTGGTATTATATTCAATTTCGAACATCAAGTTTTTTTTTTGATGTGCCAATTTTTTTTTTTATTTATTATTATTTCATCGATCGAAAATTTATACGTGTAAATTTGCCAAGTTGTTGATCGTCTCGAGACTTTTATGCCACGTAAAAATACGTGGATAAATATTTTCGATAACCTATCTTTCTGATAAAATTATGAAAACTTTTATATATATTCGTTATTTTTAATTTGGAAATTATATTCAGAGAAAAATAGTGAACGCGTGAAATCTTGTGGATTGGAATCGAAGGGAAACGATTTCATCATCGCTCATCGTTCGTTTCGTTTCCGTTCCAATAAGACACGCGCTTCCGGTCGACCGCCAATAATAGGATGCTGTGCACAAACTTTTCGCTACAGCTATTTTATTTAAACTCCGGTGCACGCTTCGACGGAATGCAATTCCACGTTCCGCAAACCCGACTCCCGATGCATTAACCCGAGTAATTCAAACGTTACTGCTCGCTACGAAAGTTTTTAGCGGTGGAATCCTCTGGATAATTCACATTACTGGAACAGATTATTCCCATCTACCCTTTTCGCTATGAGAATGCATCCTACAGTGGGGGAGGGGAGAAAAAAAAAAAAAGAAAAAGAAAAAGAAAAAAACGAAGGAATCTTGTGAATAGAAGTCGATTTTTCTGTTGTTTGTTTCGGGAATAAAGGAATCGTCTTGAAAATGGAATCGAAATTGATTGTTTTGAGGTTATGTAATTTAGTAGTTGCACAGGAAAGGTAAATAATACGTGTCGATAAAGGAATATTTAATATTTAAAGAGATTCATTCTCTCTTTTGATTTGCGTATTATCTGTTATTATAAAAATATATAATTACGATAAACAATAAATTTGCTTCTTCTTTCTCCTTTCTTATTTCATTCTTTTTTTTTTTTTCCTTTTCTTTATAAAATATAATAGATGCTGCATATATAAATCGCGATCTTCTTGTTTTGATCATGCGAAAAGAAACATATTATATCACATAAAGTATATATTGCAATTTCGACATCGAATTTCGATGATGTTTCTTAACGACATGTTTTTAATATTTAGTATCGTAATCGCTTCTATCTTTAAAAATATCTTTGTTGCCGTTTTCATCGCATCATCGATTCCGTTTGTTTTTAAAAAAAAATCTATCGATCATGCAAGTTGTTAAGTATTGAACAGATACGTATAAAAATATATAGATATAAATGCAAGTATTTTTTCTTTTTTTCTATATTTAGAAAAAAATTAATTTATTTCTAAATACAGATTAAAATTATTCTTTTCAGAAGTTGTGAGTGAATGTATCGTTCCAAGTATACGTATATTGAAAAATTATCTTAAATTTATTGGGTACAGTAGAAAAGATATTTCTATCGAAGCTCAATCGTTACTCGCAGTTTTTTTTTTTTTTCTCAATTTAAGTATTTTATTTGTATTATCAACGTGTATATTTCTCTTTGAACTCTTATTATTATTATCATATATTCAATATCATATTTCACGATATAAAAGTATCGATATATCATTTGTATAAATTATGAGTAAAAATTATCGACATTATATGAATAAAAAATATATTCCATTGTTGTTTATAACATTTTTGAGCAATAAATGAAAATGAAATTCAACGTGAAACATGTGGCACACACAGACGTAACGAATTACATACAATACGTTTCTCAAGTTTAATCTATCATCTCTACAAATTATTATAGAAAATATAGATTTTATAAAAAAAAGCAATTTAAAGTCCACGCGCAATCCAAATTGTAATGAATCGTTTTTCATTTCTTCCATTCCACATTTATCTTGCAATATACATACAATAGTATCAAAAAAGCGTTCACTATAATTATCTATAGCCATTATCAAGCGCCATTAATAGAATATAATAATATATTGCGTGTTAAAAATTATCCTGTTTCATATAACACGATATAAAATTGTTTTTATAAACAATAACAATTAATAATCGAAAAACATGTTCTCTCTTCAAAACAATATTTAATGTTAGATCAAGGTTAAACATTGTCTATATTGTTCCTTAATATACAGCTAGAATATTTATAGTACTCTTGTAATAACAATATAACAATTGTATCGTGTATATGTAAGATAGAAATATCGGATAAATTTTACAAAAATATAAAACAGCTCGGCAGCATTTTGTACACATTTGCATATATATATACGATTAAATATGTAATACATTATATATTATACGTAGCAAAATGTGAAAAGTATAAATATAGGATTCCAAAGCCAAGTTATCGTTTATATTTTCCAATAGCAAATCAATTAAGTCTGTATTAAATATTGAAGTAATTATTTAATTGATTTGCCGATTGAAAATTCGAAATTCAAACAAGCCATGCTGAATGAAAATGTAATTTGTATCGTCGATTATTTCTTTCTGAATCCTTTAAATATGCATGATCGATAATGCAAAACATGAACGCATCGGTAAAAATTCTAATAATATCAAAAATACGATTTATTCCATGAAGATGTTATTCGACAGAAGTTATTCCTTCAAAAACTTTTATTTTTTTTTTTTTTTCTTTTTTTTCTCTTTTTTTTAATCTATATAGAATTACAGCTGTGTCTTTATCACATTTTTGAATTCTTTTCTTTTTCTACGTTTAAAATATTTGAATCTGTTGAAACTTTTTTCACAAATTATTAACTATTTTTTTTTTTTTACTTAATCGCTGTCGATATTCATAGGAGTATCTATAGTTTTGCTCACACTCTTATCTTCGGATACAACATTCTCTGCCGAATTCTCAGATTTCAACGTTATAATACTTATATTGTCATCGTTCGATGATTCTTCTTCGTCGTTTCTCTTCTCCTCTTCAGACTCTGTATGACCCGCAACAAGTCTATCTTCGCTTTCCCTCTTCCCCTTCTTCTCATCGTTATTTTCATTACTCTTGGTGCACAGTACAATTACATCATCCGAATCATTGTTCTCGATCGAACCTTTATCCTCAACTTTCGCATCGTTGACCGCAAAATCTTTCAGCAAATTCTCCCTCGACATTTTAGGCAATTCTTCCCCTCTTTTAACAGAAATTAATCTCGCCCTTTTCGGAGGCTTCGCAGGCTTACTTTGCGAAGCGGTGCAATCAGGTTTGACAGCTAATTGTTTCTTCATCTCCTCCTGGGTGATCTTTTTAGTGAACTGAGTGATCAAAGGCACGCTCTTCCTCTCTTTATCCCTATCCTCTCTCTCCACTTTCTCACCGATTTGCGAGTTATCGTTTCTCTTCTTCTTAGGGATCAGACTGTACGACCACCGGTTCGGCAACGACAGCTCCTCGCTTACGTATCTCTTCCTGATCTCCTCGTGAACGTACCAACAAGCCTTCGTATGCATCGGCCCCTCCTCTGGGCATGGCATCCATTTTCCAATGTCGCGAATCTTTTGCAACAAACTCGCCTTCGAGATGTAGTTATCATTTGCGTCCTCCCTCTTGCCCCAATACGTCATGAACTCTTTCACGAGGAATCCTCTGCCGTGCACGTTCCCGTGTACAAGTCGGATCAGGTCCGGAATAGCCGCCTCCGGGACTCGTGTTTTCTTCTTCGAGCTGGATGGCGCTTGCTGATGCGTGGGCGAAGGCGAGGCGTTATTAGCCGTGTCATTCTCACACGTGGTTGGCGTCGACAGCTGAACCGGACACTTTTAATTCGAACAAATTATTATTACAATACATATTTTTATCTCGTTATAAAGTTAGAAATTCACATTTCATGCAACTACTTGTAATTGATCCAAGTTACGATCTAAGCGTGCAATAAGCCTTCTTTTGTTGTCTCTTTTTTTTTTTTTTTTTTTTTTACAAAATATATGCGAATAAAATAGAATAGAATAGAATTTTATCGAGTAACAATTATAATTAGAGACAATTACCGGTATTTGACGGGTCCAAGCCTCGCGTTCTGTCAAAAAGTCCACGATCCTCGCTGGTACTGAAATGCAAAAAGATATAGATATAGATTTCTTCATCTTTTTTTTTTTACGACTTACTACTCGGCTAATGCGAAATTTGAAAGTAAATCATGCATACTCACCGTTTGGTGGGAAATTGTTATCGGGCCCTCTCCAAATTATACCGATTATTTTTGGCTTCAATTTCGAAGTCTTCGTATTTCTCTCGGACTCGAATTGTTCCCCAAGCAGTTTCAATCTGACTTTTTGCGTTTCGGGGGACTGGATGATAAAATTAGAAAATTAAAAATTAGAAATTTTCTACTCACCCGTTGTTTTAGAAATTTTAATTACCATGTCCTCCTTGTCCTCTTCATCGGCGCGAAGTTCTTCATCGGATAAGTATCTGAGTTTGAAGAAGAAAAAAAAAGGAGGGAAAAAAATCAAAAGAAAGAGAAACTATATTCGAAAGTAGTTAAGTTTCGAAGATTATAACTTACCCATGAGGTACCATGAAATCGTTGTCCACGTCGTATTCGTTGTCCTCCGGATTCTCTTCGTCCTTTTCATCGTCCGAGCCGTGCAACGATTCACCCGGTTCCTCCTCCTCCCATTCCTCGTCCGAGTCGATTTCGTAATTGAAGTATTCCTGAAACGAAAGAGAAAAGGAAGGAAAGAAAGAGTAGGAGCGTTTTCTTCTTCGAAATTTTTCAATTTGTTGTGCGTTAAACGTTGGATGACGGATGATAAAAGTGAATTAAAAAAAAAAACGAAAGAAAAAAAATTGATACGAAGTTGTATTATTGAAGTTATACGAATAATCTATTAAAATGCGATTAAAGGCTCGAGTCATTTTTTATCGAGCATTTTTTCCGTTGCTGATAATAAAATGGCGGCTAAAAGTAACTGGAAACATTTATTTTATCTCCTTCCGATTTATTATTTTTTTCCTATTTTTCCAACTTCGTTCGAAACTTTAGAGAAAAAAAAATGAAAAGAGAGAGAGAGAAATTCTTTCTTCGTTTTTTTTTTTTTCTTCTTCGAACTAACGAATCGAGCGTTTCATCAGAATTGAAGAGATCGATCGTTGATGAAGAAAGGCAGTATTCCAGAATAGCATTTTTGGAAATAAATATGTTTCAATTATACGATAATGAATATTTTACTGAAGTCTAGAGATGATTAAGCAGGACGTGGGTATCAGCGCGACTTCCTTCACGGGCGATATCGTCGGCGCACGTGCTCCTCTTCTCGCCGATTTTCTCTTAGTCGCCGAGAGATACAACGAGTCTCGAGATGTGGATGCGTTGCTCCTGCGTTGCTTCCGCAGAACGATGAAATAAATGAATAAAAAAAAAAAAAATACGGAGAAGAAGATCGACGAAGTAATCTCAGTGTCGTTCGTGCGAACGAGGAGGAGAATAAATAGAGAACCTGCTTCTTCTTCTTCTTCTTCTTCTTCTCGTGAAATTTGTGGAGTTTTCTTTTTTTTGATTTTTGAAGAAATTACGTGCTGGAGAGATCTCGAAATACCTCCGTGATCGTGAAAAATGTGAATTTTATCACCTTTGTTATCGTGAAAGTACGAAAGATTTTTAAAGAAGAAACATCATCGAACGAGATGAAGGAATGAGATTTTTTCTTCGAAAAAGCTGGAAGAATTTCGAAAGAAGAAGTATACATTTTCCCTGGAGGATGGAATTTTTGATACAACGCAAGTTCTGAACGCAAGTGTGAAAAGGCGAGTACAACTGGAAGACCCGTGATGGGAGGAAGTGACTCGTAGGAATGATATTTCCAGACTGTTTAATATCAATTCAATATCAAAATCGTATATTGTGTATACATTTGTCGCGAATGTATTCGAATGGATTCTCTTCCCCAGAAAGAGAAATCTCTGTGTGCAGCTCGATAAGATAAAATAAAAAGGAAAAGAAAATCGGCGAGACGTTTCTCGAGGAGAACATTTCTTTTTTAAGAAGTAATTAGAAAATTAAAATGATGGAATAATTAGTTCGTCGATTGACTAACGTGACTTAACTTGGTAGCTTGTATCAGTAGCTATTTTAATTAAAAAAAAAAAAAAAAAACCGGTATTCTAATCCTAAATTATACGTCGACCTTCCGCTTCGCCAGGCAAAAAAATTCGAAAGATTGTCGAAGAAAGATGAAAAAGTAAAGGAGAAGAAATCTTCTCCTAAAATTCCAAAGGGGGGAAAGAAAAAAAAAAGATTTCTTCAAGATTGGAAGAAAGTAGGGAATGAATAAAATTCGAAGGGGAAGCTAGACTAATTTTCTACGGTGAATGAGAAAGATTCGAGAAACAACGGGGAAGAGATCGTGATCGATCGGGCACGAAATCAACAACAATCGATTCGATCAATTACATTAATTCACATTAACGGCAGGAAATATAAAATATCGCGAATGATCGGCGGCTTCGACCGTCGTTCGAGGCGGAAAACCGAGGTGAAAAGGAGGAAGGGGCGACTATCTTCTTTGTTGGCCAGCTTCCGGCGGCAACTGGGCAGCAGTGGTGAGTGTCGATGATTTTATTTCCAAGGAGCATCGAATCCTTCCCTTTCCGTCCATTCTTGTTAATTTTCACCTCGATCGACGTTGAAGGTAAGTGGCCATTTTGCGCGCAAATTCGAAGATTTTGAGAATTTTGAAATAATGGAAGCGACGTTTATTCGGTCGTGGTATCTCGAAAAATTGCGCTGGGACGGGATGATGGCGTGTTCCTCTCTTTATCGAAGGCATTTCACAGCATTTTATCTCAGCAAATCGAGAAACGAGGGTCGTTTGCTTAAAAAAAAAATCTGATATCACATATCTGAATACCAGTTAAGACCGTAGAAACGAATATAATATAATTCTTTATATCATTCGCAGCAATTTCCAAACTCGTTTTTCTTTTTTTTTTTTCGATATAATAGACAGAAAATTTATTGCGGAGAATTATTGCAACAAATTTTGAAACAATTATTAATTTCAAGGAAAGGAGGTAATTGTAAAACGAATAGAGATATATTTGGAGTAAATTCGTGCTCCATCTGGAAATCGACGGTGTCATCTGGAGAGAGAGAGAGATGGCACCGTCACACTTTCAGGACAAAATGCAGTCATCGGTTCGAGGTTGAGGAGCGGACCGTGCCTGGCAAAAGCTGTACGGTCGTGCGTTATTTACGGCGTGTTGTCACCCATCGGGCCATCTGTAATGGCTGTTTTATGCCCCATTAAGATTATAGCTGGTGCATCCCGCGGTTGCACACCGGAGATTAAATCCCTGCATGTCGAATTGATTTATATCCGAAATATTCGGCCGCTTTTTCATCACCGCCACCATGCTTTGTCGATTCAATAAATTCGCGATATCTTAATTCTTTATCTCGAAATTTTCTTCAATTTTTTTCAGCCCAATAATTTTTCGACAAGTTTGGAATAGAAATTGTTTAAAGAGGAACGGTTCGACCAGAAATTTGTTTGAAGGAGAGAAATATAAAAATCGAAGCTGTTTCTTTTTGAGACAATTAGATGTGTTTTAGACGATATTAATTTCTATTCACGTGATTTTTAACGTTTCGCTGCAACGACGTTGATATCTCGCGTTTAAAATTGGATCACGGACGAATTGCTCCGCGAAATTTGTCCGCCAAATTTCACTTCCCTTCGAAATAATGAAATGATGATCTTCACTTCACGAGAGGTGAGAATTGGAAAAATCGAAACTCGAACTGTGAGATCGATTAAGAATGATGAAAAATTGATTTAAAAATGTTTTTTCATCTGCTCGATGAAAATTGGACGAAAAAAAAAAAATCTTTCGAAGTTTGATAAAAATCAAATTTCGAGAATGAAAATCGAGAGTTGAACGATGATCCTCCAACGAATCGAAGCAAGGATTTTTTTGTCGCAATTAATAAATCTCGAGGATGGATTTTTCATATTTCAATCAAAAACGCGACAATCGTACGCGATGACGCTTCTCTCTCTCTCTCTCTCTCTCTCTCTCAATTAGACAAACCGACATCTCCATGTTGCAATGGAAAACACGAACAATGTAGAAATAATCGATGATCGATTTTCTCGTATTACGTCAGAACTAGATCGAGTTCGAATTTTGTAATTGGAGGGATGGATCAGGTTTAAGTGAAATTTAAAATTTAAAATTCATGAAAAGAATTGTACAAGAATTCGAATTCTTCGAAAAATCACATATCATACATAACGAATAAAACGAACAATTCTGAGTTCGAAAATTTAGAAAGTCTCAAAAACAAAATTCCTCCCCATCGATCGTTATATTTAACAACGAATGGAAATCTTTTGCGTTTCGGGGGAAGAGGATATACGTCAATGTATAATTAACAGTGGAAAAGATACGTTAACTACAATAACTGAAATAGAGAGATGTGTAAATGTTCTGCCGAGATACCGGATAGCGGATGTCATCTTAAGATACGAAAAAAGAGAGGGCGTGGAGACAATTGGAAACGAGCAAGGTCAGATTATTGAATAAAGCGATGAATAAAGTTGTAAGCGATTATTTTTTCGTTTCAAAAAAAAAAAATTTACCTCCTCCTCATTCCTTTTCCAAAATGTGAGTCACACGGATAAGAAATTTCGAAGTGACAAGACACACAGATTTCCCGAAAAACGTAACGGGAGAACGCGCGTCATATTTTTTCAATCCTCTCTCGGCTAATCGGAGGATAAAAGAGATCGATATATCGATCGATGTCGACGACCGGTCGTCTGTTTTTCGTAACGATAACTCTCCATTCCCGCCACTCGCGAGGAAATATTATCCAATTGATGTTCGTACGATACTTCTCTCTCTCTCTCTCTCTTCTTGTTATCTTTTATAACGCCACGTTATATAGGTAAACAATATTAATTGGCAGAAAATCGGAATATAAATTTCGATACGAGGAGGAATACGAAATAAGATTATCAAGGTCGAGATGTTGCACTTCCCTCGGTCATTCAATTTAAATACTTGACATTTGAATTGAATAATATATGGAAAATATGCGCGTTGTATCTAAGGTCAACCCCGTCACGGATAAAACGTAGTACGCGATGCTTTATTTATCATCGGTTTCCCTCTTCTTTTTCTCGCTCTAGGTCAAAGTCACGGCAATTATAATATATAACGTTGCCCTCATTGATACATCGTTTGGAAATGTACTCTCTCCTCCTCTTCTTCTTCTTCTTCTTCTTCTTCTTCTCTTTCCCCCTCTCCCCCCCCCCTCCGCCTCCGCCCCAATCGAGACGAGCGACATGTTTCGCCACCTTTCGAGGTAATAATTGCATTTCCTTTTTGTACAACGATTTTATTGCGTATTTATTGAACAAGGTGAAAAATAATAGTAAGTAAAAAAAAAAAGGTTAAATTTTGTTCCTTGTTCAAAGCCTTGTCTCGCCACATTTCATTTTGTGTATAACGATTGTATTTATTGAATAAGGAATTGAAAGGATCAGAAATGGTTAGATTTTGCTTGTTGCTCGTTTAAAGCTTGTTCCTCTATCAATGTTGTTCGATGAATGGACGATATTTGGGGGAGGGAAGGGGGGAGGGGATCGAAAATATAGGAAGGAGATTAAATTTGTTCTTAAAAAATTAAACGAAAATGCGCAAGGTGAATCATCGTTTCAAAGCTAAACGGCTATAAACACGCTACTACTACATTTCATTGCCATCATCCCAGATTAACGGCAGACGGGCAAAAAATTGAAACGGCTAACGAATATCCTCTGAAGATCACGGTCTTCGATTGATTTAATAAAAATGATAAATCCTTGTTGCTTTATTGAACCCTCGATCGACGACAAAATGTAGCCGAAATAAATGAGTAACGGTAACTGTATTCATCCTTGAGATCAGACTAAGGCTAATTAACAAAATTGACAAAATTAAATGCGAACAAAATCTCCAGAGTTTTAACTTCTTTCCTAAAATTTCGATTTAATTTCTATTCTAAAAAAAAAGTATATTAAAAATCGCGTACCAAATGATTCCTAAACGTTACGATAAAATTTTCATACCACTTTTTCAAGTAAAAATCGAAGAATTCATCGCAAAGGAAGAGAAAAATTTCCAGAATTTCCAGAAGTTTCAAGACTTGTTCAAATTCAAATCCTCATCAAAATCAAACGATCTCTAAAAGAACCTCATTATTCGTAAGAAATTAAAAAAAAGAAAGAGAAAGAAAGAAAGTTTCAAGTTTCTTCCAATTCAAAATCAAAGAATTCCTAAAAAAAAGTATCATCGTGTCCTCGTCACTCGCAGAAATTAAAAAAAAAAAGAAACAAAGAAAGAAAGAAAGAAAATTTCCAGAATTTCAAATTTCTTCAAGTTCAAATCCTTATCAAAATCGCAAAAGAACCTCATCACTCGCAAAAAAAAAAAGAAACAAAGAAAAAGAAAGAAAATTTCAAATTTCTTCAAATTCGAATCCTTATCAAAATCAAAAGGATTCCTAAATTTTCTAAAAGAAAACAAAAAAAGAATCATCACTCACATATTTAAAAGTTAAAAAAAAAAAAAAAAAAAACAAAAAGGAAAGGAAGAAAATTTTAGCATGCAAAAGTACGAAAAGTTTCGTGAACTTGCGGAATCGGAACAATTCCAATCCTTCCCAACCAAATACCGAATTTTCTAAACCACTACCATATCTCCATCATCTCCATTTGCGTGAAGAAAAAGCCTAGAAACCAAAGGGAACCAAAACGCAACACCATCACTGACGCAACCAACCAACGCGGCTCGCTCGAAAGAGGCCACGTGGTTGTGTTTCCCGTGTTTCTTTCTCGCGGATCTCACCCTCCCCTGTCGAGGCCTCCTCTCCTCGATCGAGGCGGAGGTCGCTGGTGGCCGATTACCGGGGGTGGCTGGTGTCGTAAATAACAAGGAACGCGCGAGCAACAACCGTGGCCGGCCAATTCGGCCGGGGAGCCGTTTCGTTCGGCGCGTCTGCCGGTGTTCTGGGACGCGGTGCTCCCTTGGGAGAAGTACGGCGACGGGACCGGGTGGCACAGCCTTCGATTATCTCGTGTGACGACAAGCCACACGCTCTTTCTCGTCTGATCTCATCGGGATCGAGGGGGAATAGGCCAGTTCGAGACCGCGGCCGCGAACGAGAGGGTGAGTCTTGTCAAACCCCTTTCCATTCTCTCGTTTCGTTCCTGTTTCTACTTGACTACGTTTCTCCTTGCGTCATTCTTTTGTATAATAATAGTAGGGTGATAACAGTTGGGGGAAAATTTTGAAGAATTTTGCTTACCGATCGAGGAGAATTCGATGGATATCTAAATGGATTCTAAAGATATTGGGGATTCTTTTTTTCTTTTTGGCGCGTAGAAGAGCGAAGATAATCGAAAATTTGCGTGGCGATACTCGTAGTCGTTGCACGGTAACCTTGTAACAGTAGTGGCAATCGGAAGTGATAGTGCGCGAGAGGAAATCAAGAGAGTGATTAATGGTGGAATAATTGCATGTAAAGCAAATAATAAAAGAAGGAAGGAACGTTCGTTGTTTTATTGAATATATGGGATATTGGTTGGGACAATAGATAATTCGAATAAAATTGGCAAGATGATAGAAGAAGCTGCTATGTTCGACGTGAGTAAAAATTAATACTTGTTGTTATCATTTAAGACGAATAATTTTCTTTTTTCTTTTCTTTCCAATCTTGACAAAGTATAAGAAAAATATATCACCTCGTAATCTATTAAATATATAACTTTCGAATTGTTGCGCTCGTTGAAGAAGTGACACTTTGACACCAACTCTAATCGAACAATTTCTAAACACCCAATTAATTTAACGCGATTCAGCCAAGAGGGAGCAAGATTCTCTACTAATGATCCCAAGAGAGAAAATAAACAAGAAAAATACAAAAATACAGAAAGCAATATCTCGCGCACGTCCACGTTTTCCACTTTATTTTCACAGCCGATAACTCGAAATAGAACTTAATGTTAATCAGAAACAGATATAGAGCGTTCGCGCCGCATGAATTATTGTCGGTATCTCGAAGAAACCGGCACGATTAATCCGAGACAAGTGATTCTCCGCAACAATAAACAGTTTCTCGAGTTAAATTGCTTGCGAATCGGCGAAAATTCCCCCTCTCCCCGATTATCGTACCGTACCCCGCCAATCCTTTCGACAATTTCCATCCCCCCTCCTCTCCCCTTCCGTTTCACATTTTTCACATTATTCGTATTTCCCTTTCGTTCTCGATCGACAGATGACGGACGAATTGCTGTTCTCCGCGTTGGGCCTGTCCATGGACACGGGACACGTCGAGAGGCAATTGTTCTCCTCCGATCCGGCAACGTACGCGCGCGAATACGAGGGATCCTCCTCTTGCAGAACGACGCCGCACAGCGACGACTCGGAGATCGGCGATCCCCACGCGACCAACGTCGGGAACGGGATCGGTTGTTACACGGATCTCAGTTGCCCGGCCAAGGGGCAATCGTCGTCGTCGTCTTGGAACGAGTGGTCCGACAACAATTCGACGTCCTTGTCAGGTGAGGAGAGGGGAAATTTCACGAATCCAAAATTCGAACTTACGTTTCGAGTACAAGTATAACTGGTTTCCTCTTCAGGCACCGGATGTCTGAGCGAGCTGAGCGAGCTGAGCGAGTTGGACTCCGAGCTGGAATGGTGCTTGGACAAAGGTTGGAACTCGGGCCTTCCCGAGAGGACGCCGTTGTGCACAGCGGGTTGCGAGGGCTTCCTACACCTGCCCTTGCCGGCCCCCAACAACAAACGTTCAACAGGGCGAGGAGCCGTTATGGGTGCTCGGGATCGACCTGAGAGCGCTCGACGACACGTTGGAGATGAGAGGTAAATCGATAATTTTCCGATCGATCCTTGCAAATTTTTTCCGACGAGGAGAAATTTGATAACGAAAGGAGAGAGACTCCGCTCGTTTGATGAATGCTCGATGAATGTTTCAAGATTACAACAACAATCGAGTGGAAGGAAATATCTCGTCTGCGGCTGCAGCGGCATTGGCGACGCACGATTACACTAATCGTAGTTTGGCGAGCGCGGCGGAAGATCGATGCTTCCCTTGTACTTATCAAGGATGCGTGAAGGTATTATTATATATATATATATATATATGTTTAAGATGCGATATAAACATTTTTCACAGAAATCATTCGAACATTTGTTAACAATTTAACAACGAAACGCAGGTTTATGCAAAAGCGTCTCATCTGAAGGCCCATCTACGTCGACACACCGGCGAGAAACCGTTCGCGTGCACGTGGTCCGGATGTGGATGGCGCTTCAGTCGATCCGACGAATTGGCAAGGCATCGACGATCCCACTCGGGCGTGAAACCTTATCCCTGCGAGATGTGCTCGAAAAGGTTCGCGCGCAGCGATCATTTGGCCAAACATCGCAAAGTACACAGGAAAAACGCGTATTCGTTATTTCACGGAGGTAGAGGTCTGCGTGGAGGAAAGATGAATTCAATTCTACCAGCGGAGATTTAGTCTTAATTTTTTTTTTTTTTTGTCTATGTCTGTAACGTAATTAATAAGAATGATTTCGAAATGGGGAGGGACTTTCCTTCCAGATTTTCCGAATCAAGCAACTTCGTTATTTTCTTAGGATGATATTTAATCGCGAAGAGAAATTGTATTTCGCTCTTGACGCGTGAATGATCGATGGAAAATAATTTCCATGTAGAAATTTTACACGTAAATATATTTTTTTAATGATTGATTTGAAGCGAGACAATTACCTAATTAATATAACGATAATATCAATATCGACGAAAGAGATCGAATAAGATTACTCGTGTAATCTCTTTCTTCTAGAATGTTGAACTGAATTAAGTGACAAACTTTATAAAATGACAATAAATATTGTTAAAAATACAATAAATTATTTGTCAATCATTAAATACTAATCCTAAAAATGTAAAAGAAATCAGTTGATATGTACAAATTTTTTTTAATAAAAAAAGATTTAAAGATGTTCTACTATTTTACGCGTTAAAGTATTTTTTAAAATTTCAATTGAATCTATAGTGATGCATAGTAAATAATATAATATAAATAATATTACCGTATTAGAAATATATTTATCAGCTCTCTATATAGCTAATGAGGAAAACTATTATCTTTTTGCAACTTTTGTGATATTTAATCATCGCATTTTAACTTATCATTAGTTATAACTACTGTGATTATCATTACTGTGACTAATATGACTTAGTGTCATAAACTAAGAATAAATAAACTTATATTTAATAGAATCATTCTATAAACGTCTATAAATCTTTTAATTTCGAACTTACCATATCTTTTGAAAACGGTCTTCGAGGATTAATATTCTTGCTGCGTTTCCTCCATGTACCCCAATAAGGTGGACGCAAATTTTCAGAAAATTGTAATAATTTAGGTCGTTGTTTCTCTACAACAATATCTTGATTTACGATGTTCGAACTACCTTCGTTTTCTTCGTCTACAAATAAAAGATATTAATGATTGATTGTAAACAGATTAGTTGTTGTTAAAGAAAAAAATAATGCTTACCTAATAAAATTATATCATCTTTTGCTTCAAGTGGCCATGTTTTAAATGATTTGCGGGGAACAATTTTTTTATCTTTAATTTCATTAAGATATAAATCTGATATTTCCGTGTTTCCCTTATTTTTTTTTCATCTAATATTAATTTCTCCTGTTCTTCTAGGATTCTCCTACAAACTGGAGCTATTTTCATATCCGCCTTAATTTCAAAAGGCATGAAATTTTTTACTGCGGTTATATTTTCATCTTCAATGCATTTCTCGTGTTTCTTAGCGACGAAAAAACTGGCAAAAGTTGTAGCTGCTTTTTGTTTCTTACGTTCTGCTTCTAACTTTTCTTCTTCTTTTTTTCTTTTTTCCTCTTCCTTAGCTTCTTCTCTCTTTCTACGTTCTTCCTCTTTTGCTTGTCTTTCCTTCTGTTTTTGTCTGTAACAAAATAATATTACTGAAAAAAAATTTACAATTTTAAAATTATAAATTATTAGAATTATAAATATTCATACTCGATTTCCATTTGTTTTTTTTGTTCTTTCATTTTTTTTTCCATCATCTTCTGTTCTTTTTCGGCTTTTTCTCTTTCCTCTTTTTCTTTACGTTTCTCTTCTTTTTCTTTTCTTCGGTTTTCTCGTTCTTCCTCCAATTTCTTTTCTTTTTCCTAATAAATAAATGAAACGATTCGTTGAGAATTAAATCAACAAAATAAAATATTTAATATTATAATACATTATAATAGTATACTATAAATGCCGCAATACCATTTTCGATCTTCGCCTTTCTTCTTTCCTTTTAGCAATTAATAATTTCTTTTCTTCTTGTTTAGGTGTTAATCTTTTTTGCTTTATTTTTTCCATTTTAGGAGTCTTAATATTTTTTGAGATTATTACATCTTTTATTGTATTTGTAGTAATTGATTTTGTTTGTTCATCTTTATCTTCATCGGACGATAAAATAGCAATATCAGAATCAGTCTGATTCGGAGAATTATTTACAGTAGATGGTGAATCTTCTATTTTATTAGTTAAATTATTTTTTGTCTCTGACACGCTTTTTTCAGAAGTCTTTTCAAATAAATCATCTTTTCCTTCTTGCAAAGAAATCTGAGACACTTCCTTTGAACTATTTTTTTGTTTATCAGTCTTTTGGAGGAACTTTGTTAAAGGACTTGACTTTAATTTTTCTTGTTTTTCTAATGTTTTTTGTCCACTCGAAGTCTGTCTTGGAGTTTCACATTTATTTTCAGTTTTTAATTTATTAGATGTTGAATTCTCTTTCAAATTTTCAACTTCTATCTCTTCTATATTATCATTTTCGTTTTCTGTATCAATATCTGTATTATTCGATTTACTACCTACAATATCTGTATTCAAACTTTTTTTCAAAATTTTTATTGTTTTCGCAGGATTATTCTCGATCGAAGGTGATGTTAATTTCCTTTTCTTACTTTGAGTAACATTCGATGACTGTACTTGATTTTGCATTTGAAATGGCAATTGTGCTGAAATAAAATTTCAAATTACATATAATTAAAATATTACATATAAAATTAAACATCAATTATTATAAAGAATTATAAAAAATACACACACACACACACACACATTATATATATATATATGTATATATTAATATTTCAATTTATTAAAATTATTTTGTAATAATTATATAATAATTATAAGATATTATATTATAAATTAAATACCTTGTTTCATTTTTTTTTTCTTAATAGGAGTAATTGCCTCAATACAATCATCTTGTCCATCATTGTCCATCATTTTCATGTCAATGATCTCTATAAAAAAAAAACATGAATAAAATAAAAAAATATTCAATATTCAATCAAAAATAAAACATAAATGAATAAAATTTAATATATTCTCTGTCTTACCTAAATACGTGTAAATATAAAACTTTTCTTACAACATTACATCAACTGACAAGATCGACAAATCTGTCAATGACACATTAGTATAACCTAACAATAACTTATTACATGAATATGATAATAACAAAGTAAAGAAAAGCATATATTAAATATGTACAAATTTCAAAATTAAAATATTATATACAGATATAAAAATTTTACTATTTAAAAGTCTATTTTCAGAAATATAATACGAAAATACATCACTGTAACATAGTAAGAAAATCGGCGGGAAAATAGAGTATAGAAAGACAAAAATTTCGCGTGTTGCGTATTTCCATAAACTTTAATTTTACTAGATTCGCAATACTATCACTCACATAACAAAGAATTTAGTCAATTGGTAATTGGTTTGAATTTAACCAATTAAAACTTAATATTTTAGATGCAAATTTATAATATATAAAATTATAGATATTTAATTTCAGAAAATAAATCAGAAATATTGATTTATGATTTTTATATGAACAATAAAGTATTATATTTGAATACAAATAATATTTAAATTTATAATAAAAAAACAATTCATATCATAAATAAATTATTTATATTATTTAAGATGATTTTAGAAACTTTAGATTATTAAGAAAACTTAGATTTATTCATAATTTATATTTTTTATTCTCTCTTAATTTTAAAACATTCACTAATTAATTGAAATTTTGAATTTGATGACATCAATAACATTCAAATCAAATAATCTTTTTAGCATTTTATTGAAAAATTTTCTCTTTGTATAAATATATTATTATCCTTTTTATTAAATAAATATATAAATATATAAATAAATCCTGAAAACTTTGAAAATTCATTTAAAACATTAAAATATTAAAAAGTTTTCTTTTCTTTTTCTTTTTTATTCAAAAAATCGAGAGGGCGTTCGATCTTCGAAATTCCTAACCATATTTATTTTCTCCGCCAGATGACTCGTTGATAACTTTGCATTCGTTCGATGAGTATCGGATACCGATCGGACGGCTTACGAAGCCGTTTGGTCAATAAGAAGTTCTTCGCGAAACTTGAGAAAGCATAATGTACATGTGATGCGAACAAAATAACTATTGACGGAGTACGCGATGTGTATTTATTTAAGAATTTCATCAAAAGGAAAATATTAATAGCGATGAAATTGTGTAACAAATAAAAAAGAATAAGAATAGTGTTGACTTGGATCGTAGAAAAAACAAGTTGCAACGGAGTGTTCTTTCTATAGTCGAAAGAAAGGTCAACCCTTGTCTGGATTCTATGCAATGTACCGGCGCCCCACCCCCATTCACTGTTTGTCCTTTAAATCTAACCCCTTACTACGTATTGAAGGGTAGCATGCCGCATACTATGCAAATCTATTATCAGCGTTGTCATTGTTTGAGAGGTAAGATATGATATCATTGAATAATTTTTACTGATATATTTATGATTAGAAGATAATTTTACGAATTGTAGAATAATATAATCTTATCGCGAAATTGTTTTATATCTTGATATTTAGCGGTTATATCAATCTTTTTTTTGAAACGTTCAAAGTAATTATGTTCTGTAAATATGTATATATGTATATGAAAAGAAAGAAATAAGATTATCATAGTATAGTGTGCTGCAAAAATTTTTCAAGAATGAGAGAAAATTATATATTGCAACGTTTATTAGTTCCTGACTTGAATACTAAATCGATTGTCAGTGTGCTCGATGTACTCTATAGTACATATATTTACAACGCGGTATACTTGGTGAATACAAACGATAGATTGATTATTGTTAAATTGAATGATATTAATTACCGGATGATAGACATTCGTTACGAAATAATCTTAGCAACTTCTCGTTGGATAGCTTTTGATTTAATTTTACAAGTTGAAATGTGATTTTAAAAATTTTAATTTATAAAAATATTAATGATATTATATTAATATAAAGTAATTTATTGCTGCTAATGTAAAATTGTAATGTAATTGTAATGCAAAATTGTTTTTAATAATAATATTATTAAATTAATAAAATAATATTATTAAATAAGTATTATTAATTAATATGGTAATTAGAAATATTTAAAGTTTTATATAATATCAATATTATTTTAATTACATAAAACTTTTATTAGAATAATTTATTAGAATAAAATTATTAAAAATTATTAATAAGAATTATTAATAAAATTCAGAAAAATTTTAATAGATTAATATTATATGTTACTGTGTTTCAGTTACATTTTATAATATAAAGAAATTTTAAAATTTTTTAAAATTATTTTTGGATACACAAACTTTATTGTATCTATGACGTGATTTTGAAGTTGATATTAACGAATTCAACATGTATGCATTAAAAATGCAAACTGCCTGTCAAAGCGAAGGCAGTGGAGAGCCTGATGATCCAAGTAGTCATCATCAGGAACCTGTTAGACCTCCAGCACAGGATTGTAGTTCATTTGACATTGTTAGGGCAACTCAGGTAATTATTTCAACCTATAATTATCAATTAATTCCAAATATTATAATATTTAATTATTTAAAAATATTGTTGTCTGGGTAATTTATTCTTTTAGTATGGAGCTTTGGATCGTGTGACTGAATTAGTAGAAGCTGGTGCTGATGTAAATCAACCAGATTCAGAAACTGTAACATTATTACATTGGGCAGCAATAAACAATCGAAAAGACATTGTAAAATATTTAATTGCAAAGGGAGCTATCGTTGATGCAATTGGTGGTGAGCTAGCTTCCACACCATTACATTGGGCTACAAGGTTAATTCTAAATTAAATATGTAATTTAAATTTCTAGTTTATAGTAAAATGTAATGCACATTTTAACAAATAAAATAATTAAAACTTATTGTTTCTAGACAGGGCCATTTATCTACAGTTGTGATATTAATGAGAGCAGGAGCAGATCCAACTCTTAGAGATTCAGAAGGATTCTCATGTATTCATTTAGCTGCACAATTTGGTCATACTTCTATTGTTGCTTATCTAGTTGCAAAAGGAGTAAATCCAAATATGCCAGACAGAAGTGCAATGACACCCCTTATGTGGAGTGCCTATAAAGTTAATAGGTAAATGTAAAAGAATAATTAAAATACTTATTTGTAAAAAATTTTATTTATAATTATATTATATAGGTTACTTTGAAGTTTTTTGTTTTACAGTTTAGATCCAACACGTTTGTTACTGACTTTAGGAGCATCTCATTCACTCGCAGATAATTTACATGGTAACACTGCTTTGCATTGGGCTATTATAGCTGAAAATAGTACAGCAATATCAACATTAGTTCATCATGGAGCATCTTTGGATGTACCAAATATAAGAGATGAAACACCAATGACATTGTTAGGTCGTCATATTGGTGCTGCCTGGTTAGGACATAAACTCAGTCAAGAAATCAGAGAAAAACAGGGCAGAACAAGAACATGGTGTAGAGATAAGGTATTTACTTTAATTATTTTTATTTAATTTCATTTTTTAAAATCTTAATTCATTTTTCAGAGAATGCGCTGGTATTGTATGGTCAGTACGCCATTTATAGTTTTCTATGTAATTGGAATGATTTTTCAAAGTGGATTGCATTATCTAGTAAAATTAGGTGCCTTTGTCACTCTTCATATAGCACTATATTTAGCTAATCATTTTATCTTCGACGAACGATTATTTCATATTATACCAATGTCAATTTATTTGGCTACAAAGGTGAATATTTAAAATAATATATAATATTAACTGTTATTATTATTATTATTATTAAGATAGTTCACTTACATAAAATCGTAATATTAAATAATATTATAAATCTTAAGTATTGAAAACTGATTGAATTATATCAGATAACATCTTTTACACAAGCGATATAGACAATTAATGTCTTATCATGACATTTTAGATAACATATATATAAAGAAATATAATAGAAACTCTTAGATTAATTCTTATTACAACGTGTAAATAATTTTAATTTTTTTTTCTAATTAATGATTATTATTTTTATTTAAAAATATAATTTTTATTTAACATATAATTTGCATAGCAGATTATTTATTCTAATCAATATTTTTTATTATTGCACATCTGTTATAGATGTGGATATACGTGACATGGATATTTTGGCTAGGTATACATGCTGCTTGGTATTTATGGTTACTATTAGTTAGTGGATCTGTTCCACTTTGGATATGTTTCTTACAATCCTGGAGAGGCGATCCAGGTGTAATTACAGCTACACATGAAGATAAATTAAATGTAATAATCTTTGTATATTATAAGAATATTATTTAAATTATTAAATTAATTTATTATTATTTTATTATTTTATTTTTTTCTGAAATTTTGTTATTTTCAGACGATTATAGAGTTAGCAGAATCTGGTGGTTTTGAACCACAATCATTTTGCAGCAGTTGCTTGGTTAGAAGACCTATGAGGTCTAAACATTGTTCTACATGTGATCGATGCGTAGCACGTTTTGATCATCACTGTCCTTGGATCAATAACTGTATTGGTAAGTTGTATAAAATAATTTAACTCCATAACATGTATAACCAGTATAATTTGAGATTGCATTAATTTTAGATAATTTAATCTTTAAATAATACAGTTGTTTTCTTATAATTTTTAATTTTTTTTTTTTTTAAACTTAGGTGCGCATAACCACAAGTATTTTCTGGGATTTTTAGCATCATTATTAGGTCTTTGTATTGTTGTTTTATCCGCTAGTGTACAGTATTGGCAATTTGAATGTTGGACAAATTTAACAAATGGGCATAGTGCTGATAATTATTTAGTTGCTGCAGCTACCTGTGATGCTTGGGTAATGTGGGTTGCAGCAAATACATGTCTCCATTTCTTTTGGGTTGGCACGCTGCTTGCGTGTCAGTGTTATCAGGTTTGTTCACTTTTTCTATTTTATTTTTACATGATCAACTACATTACAAATTTATCTGATTATTATCTCTTTTCCATAAAATAATATATATTTTTATATTATTTATTTATTAGATCATGGTACTTGGAATGACAACAAACGAGCGTATGAATGCTGGACGCTACGCGCATTTTAAACAAGGGAATCCTTTTCATCGTGGTGCTCTTCAGAATGCAGCTGATTTTTGCAATTTAAGCTTTTGCGGTGTAAAAGCAAAACCCAGTTCAGACTGGTTGCATAGTTTTGATCACAACAGAGTATTGAAAAATTACCTCTACTTGCTACAAAAGATAACTTCCAATATATTTAGAATTTTTCTTAAGGATCACTGTCATAGAAGATAAAAGAATTTTGCCATCAGAAGCTAATATAATGTGTCATATCACTTATGCTTGAAGCATACTTTTGGATTACCAAAGAGTTACTACATAATTGGAAGTGACTTTTAAAAAAAGTGATTTTGCATATATATATATATATATATATATATATATATATATATATATATATATATATATATATATTATATATATATATATATT